GCACCCTGAGGAGGCCCTCTCTGTGCGAGCGTACTGGCCGGTGGGAGGCTATTGGTGGCAGAAGGCGGTCTCGTAGATACCCCGGTCCTAAGCCATGGAGCGCTTTAAAGGTGGTCACCAACACCTTGAAGCGCACCCAGAAGACCACCGGGAGCCAGTGCAGCTCGTGCAAGATGGGTGTTACATGGGAGTGCCTCGTCGCCCCCATAATCCCCCGCGCGGCCACGTTCTGGACCAGCTGGAGCCTCCGGGTGCACCCCAGGGGGAGCCCCATGTAGAGAGAGTTGCAGTAGTCCAGGTGGGAAGTGACGAGTGCCTGAGTGACATTATGGCATGCATGTCAAAGATGACACACCCAGAATAACAAAATAACAGCGCTGGAGGAACCTTGGAGGTCTTCTAGTCCAACCCCTTGCTCAAGTAAGAAACTATATTGTTTCAGACAAATGGTTGTCTGTTTTGAACAGTGCGCCAGCATCACTGACCGCAAACGAACTATTCTTGAAAGCACACTTGGGCCTTACATGATTTTCAGAGGCTGTGGATGGCCGCGAGCATGGGGGGTGCTCTCATATAGCCTCCAAAATCAAACCAAGAGTGGTTTTGGGGGCCACAGAAGAGCATTTTCTAAAGCTACAGGACAAAGAAAGGCCTCTTGTGACCTCTTGTGCACAGGCCAAGGTGGGCTTCTCAATAGAAAGAGGACACAACTTAAAGGTAAATATCCATGGAGATTAAGTCATCCAGGTTGTGGTGCTTTTTTTTCCAAGAGGCACGTTGGACGTTGAAAACGTTTCTCTTCTCATCCAAGAAGCTTCTTCAGTTCTGACCGGATGGTGGGAGAATGGAAGGATTTATATTCCTTGCAGACAATGGTCATTTGCGTCCTTTGAGAGAGTCGTTGAGGCCACTTGGAGGTTTCTCTGTGTCCTCAGGGTCACCCGAGTGGTGCAAATGGGTGTGGAACTGTTTGAAAGGACTGTGTTGTAGATCGCAAGGTACCGTGAAGGAAATTGAGAGGAAATAAGATCCTTGGTAGTACAGGGGTTTAAGGCACCCTGTTATTAAGCTGGTTATTAAGACCAGCTGCCTGCAATTACTGCAGGGTTCGAATCTCACCAAGCTCAAGGTTGACTCAGCCTTCCATCCTTTCTAAGGTAGGTGAAATGAGGACCCAGTTTGTGGGGGCAATAAGCTGACTTTGTATAAATATACAAAAGGATGAAGGCTATTGCTTAACGCATTGTAAGCCGCCCTGAGTCTTCGGAGAAGGGCGGCATATAAATCAAATTAAAAAAATAAAAATAAAAAATTGTATGGGATACCATGAAAGCGTACTTGAGAGGAGTAGCGATATCGTATATGGCGTTCAAAAATAAGGAAGAAAGGAAAGTTAGAGAGGCTTATAATAGGAAGCTAGGAGAAGCGGATAGTAAACTACAACAAAACCCGGGAGACGAGGTGGCCAAACAAAAATGGATGATGGCAAGGCATAATCTCAATGTTCTGGATCAGGAGGAGTTGGCGCAAAAAATCAAGAGAATAAAACACTACCACTTTGAGAACGGCAATAAGTCTGGAAGGTGGCTGGCGTACAGATTAAAAAAAGAACAGGAAAAAAAAATCAAATTCTTACATTAGAAGACTCTAATGGTGATATTTTGACAAAAGAAGAGGGTAAGTTAGAAAGAGCGAGAGAATTTTATGAAGCTTTATATAAAGAGGAAGCGATCGACCCAGACAAAACTGAACAATACCTGCTGAATCTAGTTCTGATGAGTTTGTTCTATTAAAGAGGCCATTATGTCAAAATTGAAGAGCCCTCTCTCTTAACGGCAGGGGAGGGATACGACATTATTTATCTCCAGTCTACAACAGAGTCCTTTCAGCAGTTCCAAAAAGGCTCCACACCCATTTCTACTATTCAAGTGACACAGACAAAAACTCCAAGCAGCCTCAACAACTCTCTAAAAGAGATCTTCAAACTTAGCAGCTTTTAAGACTTGTGGACTTCAACTCCCAGAATTCTCCAGGCAGCTATGCTTGGCTATGAATTCTGGGAGTTGAAGTCCACAAGTCTTAAAGCTGCCATGTTTGAAGATCTCTGGTCTAAAAGGATGCAAAGGACCAGCTGTCTGCAAGGAGTATAAATCCTTCCGTTCCCCACCATCTGGTCAGAGCTGAAGAAGCTTCTTGGCTGAGAAGCGAAATGTCTTCAAAGAAAACCCAGAAAGTCCAGTTGCCTCTTGAAAAAAAAGCACCTTTGGGACACCTGAAGGTAAATGATGCACGGAAGATCCTGGGGGTTAGGAGCATTGGGCCACGGGGGGCAATTTGGGGAACAGTGGTCTTTTGGCGTGGCAGTGACAGGCCCAACTCCTGTCACGTGCCACAGTTCAGTGGCCTAGATGGGGGAAAAGAGAGAATTTCTTTTGCAGGGTCCAATCTGGGTTGGTCATTGAGACCAGAGATTTAGTCTTTTGGACTCATCACTCAACAGGAGTGCCGATTTAACCCCCGTTTATGAAGTACAGGTAGTCCTCGACTTACAACAGTTTGTTTAGTGACTGGTCGAGGTCACAGCAGCACTGAAAATAGTAACTTATGACCGTTTTTTCACACTTCTGACCACTGCAGCGTCCCTGGTGGTGACATGATCAAAATTTAGATGATTGGTAACGGATTCATATTTACGACGGCTGCCGTGTCCCAGAGTCACGGGATCCCCTTTTGTGACCTTCTGACAAGCAAAGACAACGGGGAAGTCAGATTCACTTAACAGCCGTGTTACTAGCCTAACAACTTCAAGCAATTCACTTAACAACTGTGGCAAGGGAGGTTGTACAACGGGGCAAAATTCACTTAACAACTTTTCACTTAACCACAGGAATTTGGGGCTGAATGGTGGTCGTAACTGAAGGACTTCAGGTAGTCCTTGACTTACAACAGTTCGTTTAATGACCGTTTGAGGTCGTTAACGCCACTGAAAAAAGTGACATCACATTTTTTCGCCTACAACACTTAACAGTATCCCCACGGTTACATGATTAAAATTCAAATGCTTGCCAAGTGGTTCATATTTATGACGGTTGCAGTGTCCTAGGGTCATGCGATTTCCTTCTGCGACCTTCTGGCAAGCAAACTCCATGGGCAAGCCAGATTCACTTAAGGACCGTGATTTGTTCACTTAATGCAATGATTCACTTAAGAACTCTGGCAAGGAAAATCGTAAAATGGGGCAAAACTCGCTTAACGAATGTTTCACCTCACAACATAAAGATTTTGGGCTCAATTGTGGTCGTAACTCGAGGACTACCTGTTATCTGTACTTAGGAGGCGAGGGTTTGACAGCACAAGGAAACAACAGTCAAAGATTTAATAGCAAGCCACCAACACCCCATTTTTCCTCAGCTGAAATAGCTCCCTTCTGCTGCCACGAGAAGGGAAAAAATTAGCGACTGGATCACTGGACACGAGGCATGTCAAGAACGCGTTTTTGTTTCAATCTGCAGAGCAAGAGACCTTTGCGTTCATCAGCTATACTAGGTGGTTGCCAAAGCAATACAGAAATGCGAACTTCAAAGCTACCTGAGTGGTAACTTGCTCTTAACCGCCAGAGGTGTCCCATTTTGGTGACATTTAAGACTTGTGGACTTCAACTCCCAGAATTCTGGGAATTGAAGTCCACAGGTCTTGAAAGTGGCCACCGTCTGTACAAATCCCTTTCCTGGGAGTCTGTAGAGATTGTCAGTCATCCAGGTCATGCTTATCCATCCCAAAGGTGCTTTTTTTAGGAGGCAACTGGACTTCCCTGTTTTTCGTTTGAAGATGTTTCGCTTCTCATCCAAGAAGCTTCTTCAGCTCTGGCAGGATAGTGGGGAAGGGAAGGATTTATATTCCTTGCAGACAGCTTTGTCATTTGCATCTTTTAAAGGGTCGTTGAGGCCACTTGTAGGTTTATCTGTGTCCTCAGGCCAGGGGTGAAATGTAAAATTTCACCCCTGCCCTGCCTGGTGGCTCAGCAGACTGATAGCATTGTGATTAACACCAGCTGTCTGCAATTACTGCAAGTTCGAATCTCACCAGGCTCAAGGTTGACTCAGCCTTCCATCCTTTCTAAGGTAGGTGAAATGAGGACCCAGTTTGTGGGGGCAATAAGCTGACTTTGTATAAAATATGCAAAAGTATGAAGGCTATTGCTTAACGCATTGTAAGCCGCCCTGAGTCTCCGGAGAAGGGCGGCATATAAATCAAATAATAAAAAAAAAAAGTTACTGCCGGTTCTGTGGGCATGGCTTGGTGATGGTGGTGGTTAATGTGACTGAGTGGGCGTGGCCAACTTTTTATTTTTTAACTTTTAAAACCATTTTTTCTACCACTTCTTCGGCCGAAGAGGTTGTTTAAAATAAAAAAATGCTTTTAAAAGCCTCTGACGATCCCAGCTGAGTTGCCTGATCGTCAGAGGCTTTTTTTTCTTTTAAAAGCATTTTTTCTACAACCTCTTCGGCCAGAGGTTGTAAAAAAAAAAAATGCTTTTAAAAATAAATAATCTGATAATCGCGCGGTTCAGCTGGGCATGGTGGTGGTGGTGGGGACGCAGGGATTTTTGCTACTGGTTCTCCGAACCACCCGCCGCCATCGCTATCGGCTCGGGTGATCCGGTCCAAACTGGGAGCATTTCACCCCTGCCTCAGGGTCAGGAAAAAATTGCAGACTACACGAACCAGGAACATCACTCAGGTGACTCTGATATAAACCTACAAGTGGCCTCAATGACTCTCTCAAAGAATGCAAATGACCAGTATAAATCCTTCCATCCTCCACCATCCAGTCAGAGCTGAAGAAGCTTCTGGGATGAGAAGCGAAACGTCTTCAAAGAAAAAACAAGAAAGTCCAGTTGCCCTCTTGTGAAAAAGCACCTTTGGGACTTTTCCCGGGTGGTGATATAGGCAGGCCGCTTCCTGAAGAGCCCTCAGAAGCAGTATCCGGGTGATTGTAAATTGTACTTTTTTTTCTTTTATTTATAGAAAATGGAATGCCTCGTAAAAGAAACACGTTTTCTTTGAAAGGATGAGCGTGTGCGGCAGCACCTACAGAAACACGTTACAAAAAAAAAAAAATATGAATGGCTTCACATACTGAGCTAGGAAGTGAAACAATGAAGGTTAACTTAAGAGTCACAGTCAGTGGTACACTGAGTCGTAGTGTCGAGTATCTTTGTCCCTCGTCTTGGTTGCCATTTGTACAGTTAAAAACAATAAAAACATTCAATAGTGACAGCTGAACCGGGGGTCGTTGGGTCGGTTTCCCCTCTCTTGTCCAGCAAAGCCCTCTCCCTGGGCAGTCTGTTCCTGCCGGCCACCTGGGATGAATCCTTGTCTGGAAAAGAGAGAGACAGAGAGAGAGAAAGAGAGACCACAATGAGAAGGGGAGGACCGCAGGCCAGGAGCCCTGTTCCCATCCCCAGCTGTGCTCCATGCTCCTTCCTCTTTTGCAAGGAATTATCCACTCTGGTTGCAGCCCTGAATTGTTCAGGCCAGATGGACTTTGCTGCACCAGTTTCCTAACCTCGGCAACTTTTAACAGCCAGGATGGGTGGACTTTTAATTCCCAGAAAGGATGTGTGAATTCCCAGAATTCGACAGCCAGAATTGTGTGTGGGCTTCAACTCCCAGAATTCCCCAGATGAGATGAGTGGATGTCAACGCCTAAAATTCTCCAGCTGGGATGGGTGTGACTTCAATTCCCTAGCTAGTATCCAACTTGGGGGAATTCTGGGAGTTGAACATCGTTCGGTCCCAAAGTTGAGAAACGTTGGCCTGGACAGTCCCTCCCTTCCCTCCAAGGAAAGGCAAGAAAAATAAATAAATAAAGTGATCCAGGACCCTAAGGTTGAATTGGAAGGAAAACATGGATCTAAAACGTAGAAAAGGGGCCCTTAGGGTGCTCTTAAAAGCGCAGCTAGATAATGCAACATTTAAAAAACCCTCCAAACGGCGTGCTGGGAGAGGAAGGGCCGGTTTGGGAAGCAGAGGGGGAGACTGCTGTATAAAAAACCATTTAGGTTTGCTATTAGGTCAAATGCATAATGAGAAAAGGTTAACCTTACTCTGAATTCAGAAGGCTGAAGGCTTCTTACCCAGACATTCCACCTCGCGGCATTATGTGGCCACGCCGTTCTCTGCCCCCACCTAGAAAAGACGGGAGGAATTCACACTTGCAGGTCTGAATCGCTCTGAAACTATCTGTCATGTTTCCTCCACTCTAGATTCCTCCATTCTAGATTCGAACAGAAAGGAAAAGGAACTCTTGGAAGGAGAGCAATTTCGAATTTGTGGGGTCCTTGGTGCTCTCTGCCCTTGTAACGGGACTAGGGGGTGACATGATAGCAGTGTTCCGATATTTGAGGGGCTGCCACAAAGGAGAGGGGGTCAAATTATTCTCTAAAGCACCTGAAGGCCAGACAAGGAGCAATGGATAGAAAGTAATGAAGGGAAGAAGCAACCTTGAAATAAGGGGAAATTTCCTAATAGTGCTAACAACTTGCCTCCAGAAATTGTTGGTGCTTCATCACTGGAGGTTTTCAAGAAGACACTGGACAGCCATTTGTCCAGAATGATATAGGTAGGGCAGTGATGGCTAACCCTTTTGCCATTGCGTGTCAAAAGCGAGGAGAGCACTGGGGGCTCACATGCATGCGTGCCCACACCCAAAATTCTATGCGTCTGGTCCCCCCTATGCATGCATGTGCACCCGCTTGTGCTCCCCCCACTTTTGGCATGCGATGGCCCGGTGGGCCCGTTTTTCGTCCTCCGCAGGCTCCAGAGGCTTCCAGCCTGTGCAGCTGGCACTCGAGTCAGACAATGAGGAGGCTGGAGAAGATGTGGTGGCAGAGGCAGGGATTCAGCCAGGGCCTTCAGAACCTCCAGAAGCTCCCTTAAGTGAAGAGGAAGAAGTGGAGGAGCCTCTTCTTGATGCTCGGGCGCGCAGAGCTGCCAAAAGGCAGGAGTGGCTCCTCAGAAGGAGGTCTCCTCGAGAGTAAGGCTTGGGGCTAATTGGCCACTCCCTTAGCCTATTTAAGGAAGGACGCCGACTGAAGCAATTTGCAGGAAACAACTTCGTTCATATTCCTTTGTGTCTGGATCTTAGTGCTCTTATCAGTTTCCTGCAAATGGCTTCTGGGCTTTCTGCCAACCATAGTAAGATTAAGATTATTTATTCTTTGGATTCTGGCAGGCTGTTAAGAAAGTTAATTAACAGCCTTTGTTTTTTTTAAAAAAAACCCTGATTTTATTTTAGTAAACTAAGGTTTGTACAGACTCTGTGCGTGCTGCGTTCTTTGGGGTCCGTAGCTGGGGCAGAACAACCTATCAGACTTTGGGAACACAGCTTCTTCCTTCATAGGAACCCATCTAAATACCAACGACCTCCCATCATCCCGTGCGCTCCCACAGAGAGGGCCTCCTCAGGGTGCCATCAGCCAATCAATGCAGGCTGGTGACCCCCAGGGGGAGGGCCTTCTCTGTGGGGGCACCTACCCTCTGGAACCAGCTGCCCCCTGAGATAAGGAGAATCCAAGACCTTTAGTGCCTTCCGCCGTGCCCTTAAAACCCACTTTTTCCAGCAAGCCGGGCTGGCTTAAGAAGAAATTTTTAAATGTTTTAATTGGTTTGTATTTTTAATTTTGGGCCAAATTTATATATATTTTAATTGTTTTTAATATTTGTATTTCATGTTTTTTAATTCTGGCTGTACACCGCCCTGAGTCCTCAGGGAGAAGGGCGGTATATAAATTTAAAAATAAAATAAATAAATAAATAGCAATCCCAAAAGCTGTTTGAGCTGCAGCACCGACTGATCTCTCCTTCTGCCCAAATGGAAGAGCCCTAACATCAACTACAGAAGGAGCAGACATAGGGATCTTGCTGTGCCCCCACAACAGGCTTGGCTGCCCTGGGACTGGACAGCTGAAAGGGCAGAATATCTGGACATTAGCCAGGGGACACTAAGCCCTATTCAAACAAGGACACACACACACACACACACACAAAAAAAAAGAAAAAAAAAAGTGGGGGGAAAGATTGGTCAGCTCAACGTTCAAGAAATGACTCTCCATTTCTTCAAATCATCCTTCATCACTCCATTTGTTCATCACTCCATTCGTTTCAAAAACAGTAAGCCTGAAGGAAAGTCCTTAAAAAAAAATTGTGGAAATTGTAGGAGACCATACAGGCCGTCCTTGACTTATAACCGTTCATTTTGTAATGAAGTTACAACAGTCACTGCAAAATGATGATGGTTGCAGTGCCGTGTGTGTGTGTGTCACATGATCCCCCTTTGTGACCTTCCAATGAGCAGAGTCAGTGGGGAAGCCAGATTCACTTCACAACTGGGCTGGTAACTTAAAAACGGCAGTGATTCGCTGAACAGCTGTGGCAAGAAAAGTCATAACAGGAGGCAAAACTCACTCAACAACTGTCTTGCTCATTAATGGAATTTTTGGGCTCAGTTGTGGCTATAAATCGAGGACTACCTGTAATCTGAAGAATGGAGAAAGCTTAGAGCAGGGGTCTAAGCCAGAGCAGACCCCTGGCTTAGAGGATAAATAAATAAGTAGACATATAAATATTTTTCTCTTCTGCACAGAATAGGATCCTAGAAGGTTCAACCTTGTCCTATGTCCTATCCCCAAAGCCCCAAAGGAAAACCACAGCTGTGAAGGGAACAAAATGAATTACCTCGCCATCGCTCATGTTCACGTCCTGGTGGGCCCCCATCATCGTTGCTTGGCCAGGAGCGATCAGGGTGGCCTTCAAATTTTCTAATGTGATCCCCCCAGTCACGTCCATCTCTGAAAGGTAAAGGAGTTGGTCACGGATCCAGTGGTAAACTGGTTTCTAAAACACGTTAAGATAATCCTGAAAGCTCTCAAGTTTAGGAGGCTGTAAAAACTACCCACAGAAGAGAGAGCTTATATGGCAAATGTTTAAAAATACCGTATTTTTCGGAGTATAAGACGCACCGGGGTATCAGCCGATGTTACCGTATCAAAACATTTATTTGGATGAGCCAAACTCCCCCCCCCCCATTGTTAGGACTGCTGAACGCTAAAGAAGCAGCTGTCTTCTCTACAACATTCTCACTGAATTTACAAATGCAAAAAAAATGTTGCTTTTCAGAAGGCTGTCCAGAAAAGTTCAGTTGAAATCTCCTGCTGAAGTTCCCATGATGGTCCATGATGAGGGAGGCCAGCCCTGACTCCCCTGCCTTCTGGTTAAGACCTGGTTCTGTCAACTGGCTTGAAAGGAAGTGTGTGTGTGTGTGTGTGTAAGAGTGTCATGCAACCCCTGGAGTGGTTGGGGAGTTGAAGGCGCTTCACTCAGCCTTTTAACTCAGCAACTGTTCTTTTTAACCCTGTTTTAATCTGGTTCTGAACTTTGTTTTGAATTATGGCCTTTACGACACTTTACTGTTTTATTTGTAAACTCCCCAGAATCAAAGAAATATGATGGGTGATGGAGAAATTTCATGAATACATAAACAAACCAGCTATAGGAAGTGTCGCTTAATAGAATAGAATAGAATTCTTTATTGGCCGAGTGTGACTGGACACACAAGGAATTTGTCTTGGTGCATATGCTCTCAGTGTACATAAAAGAAAAGATATGTTCGTAAAGAATCATAAGGTACAACACTTAATGATAGTCACAGGGTACAAATACGCAATCAAATCATACTAGGAAACAGTCAATATAAATTATAAGGATACAAGCAACAAAATTATAGTTAATGTCCACTTGCTTAGCAACTGTTTGAACGGACCCTTGAAGAGCTACCGTATTTCTTCAAAAATATGACCAGGTCTTATTTTCTTTTGACCCCCGAAAAAAAGGCTAGGCTTTCTTTTCGAGGGGTGTCTTAATTTCCACCCCACACGCCTCACTTGGCCACTGGTCCGCTTCTTTCGCATCCGAAAAGAGCGAGCGACGTGACCCATGTGCCTCGCGCACCCTTGCCTACCTGTAATGGTCACTCCAGCTACGGTACCAAAAAAGCCTGCTGTCGTCCACTCCGGCAAGCCCGGCCGGGCATGCACTTAAATAGGGCCAACTTTGTGGGGTAGGGTTTAATTTTAACGCACGCGCACAAAACAGTGCTGGGCCTTCTTTTTGTGGGCGGGTCGTGTTTTAGGAGAAACACGATATTTATGACCCGTTTTGGAATTTCAAAGGCTGCATTCAATTCTGTGGTCACGTGACTGCATTTTAGGGACTTGGCAAGACTCACCTTTATTCCCCCGGCTGCAGCATTCTTCAGTCACATGACAGGGACTTACAATGTTTTCTGCCAGTTTCTAGTCTTTTCCAGCAAGAAATGCCCACAGGGAATACATTGATTCACTTAAATCACTCCCAACGGTAGTTATGCCTGGTCCTGGGGAGATTGGGCCATCCTAGTGCCCCTTGTGGTCATGTGAACCTACCTGGGTGCTTGGCAACCTGTTTGCACTTAAACCTGTTTGCCAAGTGCACCCCACGATCATCGTCTGCTAACTTTCCTGATGGATTCCACAGAAAGTCAATGGGGAAGTCAGCAGGGAAGGTTGTAGATCACTGGGGTAAGTCTCCTTCACTCTCAACCCCCCAGGGCCCTGAGCACTCACATCACCCTGGAGGGGGCCACCCTATTCTCCGAAGGCAGGACAAGAGGGAACGAGCCTTGGTAGTACAGTGGTCTAAAGCACCCTGTTATTAAGACCAGCTGCCTGCAATTACTGCAAGTTCGAATCTCCCCAGGCTCAAGGTTGACTCAGCCTTCCATCCTTTCTAAGGTAGGTAAATTGAGGACCCAGTTTGTGGGGGCAATAAGCTGACTTTGTATAAATATACAAAAGTATGAAGGCTATTGCTTAACGCACTGTAAGCCGCCCTGAGTCTCCGGAGAAGGGCGGCATATAAATCAAATAAAAAAAAAAAAATTAACCAGTGGAACCGCTTGCTCTAGAAGTTGTAGGTAATTCAGCACTGGAGGTTTTCAAGAAGAGATTGGACAGCCATTTGTCTGAAATAGCCTAGGGCAGTGGTGGCAAACCATTTATTTACCAAGTGCCGAAGAACGCGCTTCGCGCGCTGGCGTGCCATCCGCGGTAACGGATGTGCTTCCTGCACAATCTCACCATCTGCGCATGTGTGCAGCTTTTGTGTGTGCAATGCACGTCCGCAAACGCTCTCTGTGCATGTGTGCACCAGTCCTAGCGCGCATGCGCAGGAGAGCTCTGGAGACCAGCTGGGTCCCCTGAATTGCGCACCGGAGGCTTGAAGACCAGCTGGGGCGCACGCGCACATGCAGTTTCAGGTGAGCATGGCGACGGCTCTGCGTGCCACTTCCGGCACGCATGCCATAGGTTCGCCAACACGGGTCTAGGGTTTCCTGCCTGTGGAGAAGGTTGGACTAGAACACCTCTAAGGTTCCTTCCAATTCTATTATTCTGTTAAACTCTCACCCACCTTCCTCAACCCCTGCGGGCACCTCTTATGTCCTCCACCAACCCACATGGCACATTTGGTATATCTTCAACAACCCCTCCCCCACTCCCCAAAAGCAGCCACTTACCTATCTGAAGGCCTGGGACTTGCAACTTCCTGTCAGCTTCCTCACTGGCTGTGGGAAACTGGCAGGAAGTTGCCTAACCTAACGACCGAGGGGTTCTGTTAGGATGTGGTTTGAGCCTAACAAGTTATCCAGGCAATATATGTGTACTGTCACTTTAATCTGTAAATGTATTATGTGGCTTTAAAGTTTTCTTGCTGATTTATTGTAATGCTGAGTCATGCTGTAATTAGGTAATGACTGGTTGTGAGAGTATTTTTTTTTTTTAATTTGATTTATATGCCGCCCTTCTCCGAAGACTCAGGGCGGCTTACAATGTGCTCAGCAATAGCCTTCATCCTTTTGTATATTTATACAAAGTCAGCTTATTGCCCCCACAAACTGGGTCCTCATTTTACCTACCTTAGAAAGGATGGAAGGCTGAGTCAACCCTGAGCCTTGGCGAGATTCGAACCCTGCAGTAATTGCAGGCAGCTGGTCTTAATAACCAGCTTAATAACAGGGTGCCTTAAACCCCTGTACTACCAAGGCTCTTTAAGCAAGGTATTGCAACGTGTTCAGTTGCTGCTATGATATGCTGCCATTGTGTATGGAGCTGATGTGATATGCTGCCATAGTGAGGAGTTGCTAACATTCTGCTAATCATCGTTGGATGGATCTGTTACCATCGTGGTTTGTGAACCAGAGTGAGTTTGTTATTCTAACCAACTACTGTCTGTTTGGTAAGAAGATATCTGTAACTACTGGACTGATTTAACTGGCAAAGACTTGGAATTTGTTTAAAGACTATGAGACTGTTATTTCTACTATAAAAGTAAACTTTTGATAAACCAGTTTGCATATCTCTTATTCATTGTTCTCAGCAACGTTTCCTTGTGCATTTACTCTGCTGGTTGGTAACACAACAACAATATCCTTAACAGGTTCAATTAACAAAGGGACTGCAGGGATTGCCTTTGCTAAATGATACAGTTGTACCTTATGACCAGATCGCTTAACAAAGGAAATTCTGGTCTTGACTGCTGTTGTACGTCAAGGACTCCTTGCACCTATATTCTGTTTGTAACTTAATGTTGTGATCCGCCAGCAGCCTGCGGAGCTGGCAGTGCAGTCGGACGGTGAGGAGGTTAGGGAGGAACATGGGCCAGTCCTGGAGTCTGGGGAAGGCCTGGACGAGGGCTCTGCGTCAGAGGAAGAGATGGGGCCAGGGCCATCTGGAAGTGATGCACGGACTCCGGAGTCTCCAGAGTTGGACAGCACAGAGGCAGAGGAACAGGAAGAGCCTGTTCCTAGTGCACGCATGCGCAGAGCTGCCAGAAGGCAAGAGCAGCTAAAGCAAAAGGGACGACTCGGGAGTAAGGCCAGGAGATGATTGGCCCCTCCCATAAGGCTTAAAAGAGAAACAAAGGCACTTGGGGCCTTTTGCAGGAAAGCAACATTGCTAACTCTGTTTCCAGTCGGCATCTCTTGTTTGTTTCTGAACTCTGTGGGGCTTTGCCAAGTAAGGCCTTTGGCAGGGTGTCAAAGAAGATAAAGGTTGGTGATTATCCCGAAGAACTTCTTCCGAAGGATTTGCTTTGCAATTAATTAGGACTCAGCTGGGAATGAACGTAATTCTTCGCTGTTACAATAGAATAGTTTTTTGGGGGGACTAATTGTATCTTGTAATGACTCAGTAAGCCTAGGTCACAACACTTAACTGGTTTCTGGACTCCACCATTTGAATGCAATCACCCGCAAGCCACTCACCGGGACTGTGGAGGTATTCTCCGCCCCTCGTTCATGCGCCTGTCTGACCCATAGCCGCCCCAGCCGTCTCTGGAGTGGCGATCTGGATCCCTGTGGCGTTCCTCTGCATAGTGCTGAAAGAAGGGAAGGAGACAAGAACAGCAATGATCCAACAGGTATATGGAGGTGTCAGAATATTCATGACTGGGAAGACATAGTAACAAGGTCAGCCAATGAACAGGCATGGCAACAGATCAGCCAATGGGAGCTGAATTGGAAACTGAAACTGGAAGGAGCCTGGGCATGGCTCTGCAGCTTTAAGCTCTGTGCTCTGAGTCTAGCAAACAAATCTGGCCTTGTCTGCCCCTCTGAACTGAACTGAACTAATCTCTCCCCTCTACCACGTTGGAAGAACCACTCTAGGTATTGTATATTTATTCATGTGTTATTATGTATATAAAGAAGTTAATGAATCCTGCTGAATCAGGTTATCTGTGTGTGCTTTCTGGATTTGATTTTTGCAACAAACTGACAGGAGGAATACCAAGTGGGGTGCAGCCAAAGATTTTTGAAGCCACGCAGCAAGTTCCTTACTACAAGGAGAAGATAAAAGGCAGGGAAGCGGCACAAAGGCTGTGTAGCAGGTATTTCAACAAGCTTTTTTTTTTTTTTTTTTGCCTGGTGGCTCATTTGTTCCTAAAGGAAACACGAGAAGCTTACAAGCCACTGAACTAAGAACATAGCCTGAAGCATTGGGACTTTTAAAAAGGTTTTAGAGCTTTCAAAAGCTGCAAAGCACTGCTTTCTCGAAAGTGCTCCAGAGTGTTAAGAAATTCTAGAACCAGATATTTATGTTGGTTCAGAAAATTTTGAAAAATGTGTATAAGATTGAAACTTGAAGCTTTTTTTTTTTTTTTAAGGAATGACAGATTACACAGAATCATAGGATTCTGGAAAAGACCTCAGAGGTCTTCTAGAACAATCCCCTGTTCAAGGCAGGAGATGTTATACCATCCCAAAATAACAGTATAACAGAGTTGGAAGGGACCTTGGAAGTTTTCCAGACCAACCCCTTCCCCAGTCAGGCAGAAAACCCTATACAATTTCAGACAAATGATTGTCCAATTTCTTCTTAAAAACCTCCATTCCCCACCATCCAGTCAGAGCTGAAGAAGCTTCCTGGATGAGAAGTGAAATGCCTTCAAAGACAAATAAGAAAGCCCAGTTGCCTCTCGAAAAAGCGCCTTTGGGACAACCATGATCTGGATGGCTGAGAATCTCCTTAGACATTGAGCTATGCACTTTGAGATGAACACCCTTCGAATGGTGTGGGAGTATGAACGGATTTCCAGAAAAACTGCAGACCAGAGGAGCCATTTGCACTTCAGTTTGAGAGGCAGACAACACAGACTCATCCCCAACAGCCTTCTCCTGTATTCAATAATGAAGGGACACAGGGCAGAAAACATCTTGCAGAAAGCACAGCTCCACAACAGTCCTTTCAGCAGTTCCACAGCCATTTGCACTACTCTGGTGACCCTGAGGACACAGATAAACCTCCAAGTGGCCTCAAAGACTCCCTAAAAGAAGGCACTGTCTGTAAGGAGTATCGATCCTTCCATTCCCCACCATCCAATCAGAGCTGAAGAAGCTTCTTGGATGAGAAGTGAAACGTCTTCAAGGAAAAACAAAGTAAGTCCAGTTGCCTCTTGAAAAAAAGCACATTTGGGACAACCATGACTTGGATGGCTGAGAATCTCCATAGAGCTCCCTCTATGGGAGGTAGCTCCTGAAGGTAAGTCATTCCACTGATTGATTGTTCTCAGTGTCAAGCTTTCATCCTATCAAATGCACAATGAATGTGACTCACCTGCCTCTCTCGGTCTCCCATCATCCCCCGTGACCCTTCTCTCCTGGGAAAAAAATACAGCCATGTCAAATTTTTGACCTGGATTGATCCCCAATAAATTGGCATTAGCAATGGAAATTGTGGTCCCATTTCTGGTTTTAAGCTGAGGACTCTCTGTATTTCAAATATTCAGGAGCAGAGTTAGGGCTGGGGTGAGAAATATTTTTTTCCAAAAATTATGCTGAACAGGAATCCCTTGTGGAGAAAAAAAAGATATTGTCTGAACTTCGCCTGAACAGTACTCTGCTTCTAAACATTTGAAATACAAAGAGTTGGAATATTATATTAAATTATATATTCTGTGCTGAGAATATTATATATTAATATCCACACGGTCTGCTAGGCCCTTTAACCAGAACCCTTTTCTCTCTCCAAGTCCTTAGCAACTGAGGAAAGAATTTCTTCTTCTAGATAAAGGGATCTCCAAATTCAGCAACTTTTAAGACTTGTGGACTTTAACTTCCAGAATTCCTCAGCCAGCCATGTTGAAGGGAATGATACCAAACAGAATGTCCACAATAAAAGAGTTAATACACTGCACCTCCTCAGGGAGAGGGGGAATAGATCCCTGCAGTTAATTTAACAACTTCTGTCTTTAAAAAATCATGTTCATTATAACACGTTAGGGTGTGAATTGTCACTTTCTTAAGTGGCAGGCAAGCAAGCAGATTTATGGGGAAGGAAAGAGGATTAAGAGACTAGCAGCTGGACAGAGGAATGGCTCAGGGATGGAGGAAAGGAGAAAGCTAATGTGGTTGAACCCTCAAATCCTCTTTGTGACAAACTTAAACCAGGTGTGTCCAACCTGCAGCCCACTGGAAAGCCAGTAATGAACCTCACAAGATAATAAAAAATATAGAAAAATAAAGGAAGTTTGTTATTGATATACATTAACTACCCCATTTTTCGGACTATAAAACACACTGGAGTATAAGACGCACCTTAGTTTTTGGGGAGGAAAATAAGAAAAAAATTGATTGGGGGTGGATCAGCCTCCTGGAATACTCCCAATCAGCTGTTCCCAGAGGTGAACTTTAGCAACAGGTTCGTTGTTTGTGAGCTCTGCGCCTTGCTTTTTTCCCAGTCTCTCAAACAGAGGTTTCAGAGGCTTTTTTCAGCCTCTCAAACGGAGGTTTCAGAGGCTTTTTTTCAGCCTCTCAAACGGAGGTTTCTGAGGCTTTTTTTCAGCCTCTCAAACGGAGGTTTCAGAGGCATTCGGTGTATAAAACGTACCCAAATTTTCACCCTCTTTTAGGGGGGAAAAAGGTGCATCTTATACTCTGAAAAATACGGTAGTTTATATATTTTATATGGCCCCAGATAAGTCCTTTTCACTCAGTGTGGCTCAGGTAAGCCCAAAGATTGGACAACCATGAACTCAAAACTGTTGTTGTTTTGATAATGAAACCAAATGGAGAGAGACTACAGGTAGTCCTCAACTTACAACAGTTCATTTAGTGACCGTTCAAAGTTACAATGGCACTGAAAAAAGTTGACTTAGGACCGTTTTTCAGTTACAACCTTTATGATATCCCCATGATCATGTGATCAAAATTCAGATGCTTGGCAACTGACTCATATTTATGACGGTTGTAGTGTCCCCGGGGTCATGCGATCCCCTTTTACGACTTTCTGACAAGTGAGGTTAATGGGGAAGCCAGATTCACTTGACAACCGTGTCACTCACTTATCAACAGCTGTGGCTGGAAAGGTTGTAAAATGGGGCAAAACTCACTTAACAAATGTCTTACTTAACAAAGGAAATTTTGAATTGTTGTAAGTTGTGGTTGTAAGTTGAGGACTACCTATATATAATGCTTTCTCCCTATCTATCAAAAGCAGAACAGGTAAAAAAGGTGACAATATTTATATAAGATTAAATTTCAATTTGTGAACTCCTAACTTAGGGTCAAGTGGGTTGTTAAAGGACATTTACCTCAATTTAAACTGTAATTGAGTTTGGAATGAAACAGGTCACATGATTGTAACTTGTTTTTATGACCTTTGTTGTCACGGTTGTTAAGTGAATGTGGTGAAGGTCATGAAGCGAATCTGTTTTATCCAATGAGCATTTTTTTTTTACTGGAAACACTGAAAAACAGCAAAAATCCCCCTTGAAATTTACAGTCACATGACTGGGAATGCTGCAAACAGCCGCAATGACCAGTCAGTCGCCAAGTGGCCTAAATGAGATCACAGGACCATGGGGTGCGTGGTCTATGTGGTTGTGAGAACTTTTGAAATTGGCATGATGTACCTTTTGCGAGGGTCAATAGTAACCTGGAATGGTCTTAAAGTGAGGACTACCCGTGATCCACTCTTCTGCAGGTACACTTGAGGTTGAACAAAATACTCCCCCCAACAGGAAAACAAAACGTTTCGGTTGCTGGCTTACCTGTCTAGAGGATGGCCCTGGTACCGTCCACGTTCCCTGTGATCAAAGTCATGGAACCGATCCTGGCGGCCGAAATCGGAGCGGTGACGATCGTCCATTGGCATCCGCTTGGCTTCTGGCCAGTAGGGATCATCCCTCCTGCAAGCAACATGGAGGTCAAGAGACCAGCCTAAAAAAACTTTCCCCCTGATCTCCTCTAAGTTGCTGCTGGATGCAATATAAGGGGGTGAAACCTGATTCACAATAAAGGAGAATGTTTGTAGCTCAAGGTTGAAATGAGGGGGTCCTTGGTGCTCTCTGAGCTTGGTTGGTTTTTTGGCAGATGTTTCATTACCCGAACTAGGTAACATCATCAGTGTTAGAAGGGAGTGGAGTTTGTGGAGAGGAGGAGAAAGGACTGTGGGGTCCTTGGTGCCCTCTGATCTTCCTTGTTTCCTTGCAGACATTTCATGACCTAACAAGGTAACATCATTGGTGCTAGAAGGGAGTGAGGTTTGCAGAGTGGAGGGGGAGGAGGATTGTGTGGTCCTTGGTGCTCTCTGAGCTTGCTTGTTTTGTTGCAGATGTTTCATGACCCAATTAGGGAACTTCATTAGTGCCAGAAAAAGAGCAAACCTCACATTCCCTTCTAGCACTGATGATGTTACCTGTTGTGGCTCCGTTACCTGAGCCTGTGTCATCGGCAGGAGAGGACTCCGAGAGTGAAGGGGAGGAGTTGGCAAGGCCTCCCTCTCCAGGACCCTCCTCTCTGGCAATACCTTCGGTGTCCGCCGAAGGGCAAGAGATAGGGCCGGGGCCAAGCACGTTCACGCAGCCACAGATGGACAGTGATGAGGGTAATGAGTCTTGGCTGGATCCATGCCAGCGTCGCAGAGATAAGCGCGCGCAACAGAAGAAGAGGCTTGCCCAAGATTAAGCTGAGTCACTGGACCACACCCCACAGGATATAAAAGGGAGCGTGGTGGCCAGTCAAACCTTGCGACGTACAAAGCTGAAAGCTTCCACACCATTCTGCATTGCCGGACTTTTGCTTTAAGACTGGATTATCTCTGGACTTGATTGTAATTATTGAGCTGCTTTCCTTTGATGTATCAGAAGTGGGGAGAAGTTATCTCTCCTCTTCGTAAGTAATAAACTCTTGGCAGGCAGCCACTAGGTTGTTGCCAAGTTCCGTTATCATAAGGAAAAGGATTTTGCCAGCTGGTTTGGTCTTTAACTCCTGAACGTCTGTTGGTGTGTGTGCGTGGGGTTGGGGACAGAACATTACCTAGTTGGGTCATGAAAGGTCTACAAGAAAACAACCAAGTTTGGAGAGCACCAAGGACACCACGGTCCTCCTCCTCTCTACAAACTTCATCCCCTTCTTGCATTGATATTACCTAGTTGGGGGATGAAACGTCTGCAAGAAAACAACCAAGCTCAGAGGGTACCAAGGACCCCTCGCCTGACCCACAGTTGCAAATGCGACTTTTCACCTGCCATCCATGTCATACGGCCTCCGCAGGGCCACGCGCCTCTCCTTGTCGTAGCGCAGCTGCTCATGCTGCCGCCGCAGTTCCTCTCTCTCCCGCTGGATCCGTTCCTGCTCTCGTCTCCGCTCGTGCTCAATGTACATCCGCTCTCTCTCCAGCCGCTCCCGCTCCATCTGCTCCCGCTCCAGGCGCGCCCGTTCAAACTCCAGCTTCTCGCGGGTGATCTCCAACCTCTTCCGCTCCTCCTGCTCCCAGATGGCTTGCAAACGCAAGCGCTGTCTTTCTCGACGATCACCGCTGCTGTGAGGCAGAAAAGACGGTTGGCTCTGGACGGCAGGCTGTTTCTGCCTTTTGGCTCCTACTGTCACCTTTCCCCATTGAAGGAGCCTTATGGCGCAGCAGACTAAAGCACTGTTATTAACATCAAGCTGTCTGCAATTACGGTAAGCTCAAAGCTCACCAGGCTCAAGGTTGACTCAGCCTTCCATCCTTTCTAAGGTAGGTAAAATGAGGACCCAGATTGTGGGGGCAATAAGCTGACTTTGTATAAATATACAAAAGTATGAAGGCTATTGCTTAACACATTGTAAGCCGCCCTGAGTCTCCAGAGAAGGGCGGCATATAAATAAATAAATAAAAAAGGAATGAGCAAGTGAGCAAGCCCAGCCTCCCATTTGGCCAGTTTCCTGACGCTGAACTGGCTGGGGAGAAAGAAATGTCACTTCCACTCTCACAAAGATAGTTACACAAAGCCAGTTTGGTATAGTAGTGAAGGTACTAGATTAGAAATCAGGAGGAAGTAAGCTCTGTTCCCACCTTAGGCGTGAAAGCCGGCTGGGTGACGTTGAGGCAATCACTAGGTGGTGAGTTCTAGTTCCACCTTAGACAGCAAAACTGGCTGGTTTCATGTTGGGCCAATCATCAGGAGACTGGGAGTTCTGGTCCCACCTTAGGCATGAAAGCTGACTGGGTGACTTTGGGCCAATCACCAGAAGACTGGGAGTTCTGGTCCCGCCTTAGGCATGAAACCTAACTGGGTGACTTTGGGCCAATCACCAGAAGATGGTGAGTTCTAGTCTGCCTTAGGCATTAAAGTTGGCTGAGTGACTTTGGCTAGTCACCCTCTCTCTGCCCAACCCACTTCACAGGATGGTTGTTGTGGGGAAGATAAGAGAAAGAAGGAGTATTATGTATGTTCACCGCCTTGAATTGCCTATAAGTAAAATCTAAAAATAAACAGCGCAACGGCAAGGAGTCCCAAGTTCTGTACCTCCTTGATCAGTTATTCTTATTACAATTGTTTATATTAACCTTTTGCTTAAGTACAACAATACAAAAGGTAGGTCTTTTAATATTAGTATTACTATTAATATTAATTAATTAATATTAATATCAAAAGATCAGTCTTCTCTAAATTGAGGTTCTCCCAACGTACTGGCCTACAGATAGTCTTCGACTTATGACTGCAATTGAGCCTGCAATTCTGGTCCCAAGTCAATATGGTTAGGCGAGTCACCCACATGACTGCAAGCCCCGTTTTATAACTTGTGTGCAAGTGAACGTGGTGGTTGCAAAGTGAACACTGCGGTTAAGTGTACCAATTTGCCATGGAATGTTTTTGGCAGAAACTGGAAGCAAGTTTTGGCAAAAAAAAAAAAAAGTCACAAATCATGACCATCGAGCGTTGCACGTGACTGTAAATGCAGGTGAGTTGCAGAGCACTCAAAATGAGGTCATGTGACCATGAGGAGGGAACTGTGGGCCTTTGGAACCTCAGACATGGTTCATAAGTTACTTTTGGGAATCTGTCATAACTTTGAATAGCCATCAAGCGACCAGTTGTAAGGATTACCTGTACAATGGTCATTCCCTATCAGCACAATGGCTAGATACGATAGGAACCAAAGGTGCTTTTTCAAAAGGCAACTGACTTTCTTTGTTTTTCTCTGAAGACGTTTCACTTCTCATCCAAGAAGCTTCTTCAGTTCTGACTGAATGGTTGGGAATGGAAGGATTTATAGTCCTTGCGGTCCTTAAATCCCTCCGTTCTCCGCCATTCAGTGAGACCGGAAGAAGCTTCTTGGATGAGAAGCGAAACGTTTTCAAGGAAAAAAAACAAAGAAAGTCCAGTTGTCTCTTGAAAAAAGCACCTTTGGGACAACCATGACCTGGATGACTGAGAATCTCCCCAGACATTTATGATAGGGGAGTTTGTTTTACCCAAAATAAAGAAGGCTGTAAATATGACACAGGTTAAAACAAAAAACAAAAAAAGGCAAAGAACGTGAACACAACCACAGATTGAGCCCCTTCCTTTAGCCTGTAGGTCTCACCGGTGCTGATCTTCATTCGGTCGCTTGTCTCTGGTTTTGTTGAATGGCACGGAGCCCTGTCGCTCTCGGCTCTTTTCTCTGCTCTCTGACTTGCGATCCTGACTTTTCTCGCTCTGTATTTCAAGACACAGCACAAAGTTGCAACTTGTCTAACTCATTAAAGGAAGGGTCACGTTTGAAAAGGAAAAGGAAGGAAGATCAAGCCAAGGGCCATTTCAGTCTTGGCTCTAGAGGTGGCCCTGCCTCTCTGCGACACATTGTTTCTTGTCTGGCCTTCTGCTACTTTGGAGAATAGGTTGATCCCCTCTTCTTTGTGGCAGCCCCTCAAATGTTGGAAGACTGCTATCATATCATCCCTGGTCCTTGTTTTCATACCCAATTCCTGCAACCATTCTTTGTATGTTTTCTTTGAGAATCAGGATTATACAATAAATATATATAATATTATATATATATATTATAAATGTTTGTGTGTGTGTATATATACACACACAAAGGGATGCAGTATGCTCCCTCCCACATGCTGGGGTAGACCAGGTGTCTCGATAGAAACACACTTAATCTTTCCCCTGGCTCAAGCTGATGAAGGGAGGAGAACTTGTGGCTCAGAGGTTAATACAACTGCCTAACATGCAGACATCCCAAGTTCAAATCCAAGTAAGGGTATGGGTAGCTGATGAAAGCTGAATAGCTTGAAATAGACTATCCCTTTATTTATCAGCAATATATATATATATATATATATATATATATAAAAAATTATTATTATTAAATCTTTTTGTTTGCTGGGCATAAAGATTTTGAGTCCACCTTAAGATTTACCGGTAATAATCAAAATCAACTTCAATAAAGAATCTTAAAGGTTTCACATTGATTTTCCCATTTGCAATATGCAGGGTGAAAGGATGTTTACTTCTTAGTATCAAGTTTCCAAAAGACAAAGATGGAAAGACACACTTAATTCCCCACAATAGAAGAATGGATGGCAAAAGTGATGGGGTTGGCCGAGATGGCAAAATCGACCATTTGAATGAAAGAGAAAAGAATTTGTATGTTTTTTTTGTTTCCATTTGGAAACCACTGATGGATTTTGTACTCGAATCGGAAAAAAACCTTGAAACTCTAATTTTAGCTTTTTATGATTTAGAATGATGTTGTTGTTATAGGCTTGAAGTATTTAGAAAGGAAAAGTAAAAGGCTGAGGCTGTAATTGTTTTGTTTTTTAATTCCACTGTACTTTAAAAAGCTTTTTTTTCGTTCTTTCTTATCTCCTTTTCCATCTTTCTCTCCTTTTAACTTTTGTGTTTTACCTTACAGTAACCTTTAATGAAACTTTCTGGAATGAGAAAAAAAGTTTCCAGGCGTCAAAGTAGACAGTCGGATTTCAATTATCCAATGATTTTTATTTCATTGGTTAAGGTTTTTATAAGTGGCCAATGAGCACCTCTAAAATAAAGATTAAGGGGAAAAAAGTCTTGATGTTTCAGTAATTCTGTATAGCAAATGAAGGTGAAATCCAGCGATATAAAACTTCTCAAGGATAAAACAGTAAAACTGTCCTATTTCCTTCCCTTGCTTTAAGAAAATCCAGTAAATAGCAATTGTGACAAGGAAAGCTAACGATTCACTTACTCTTTCTTTTGATCGCGATGTGGTCTTCACCCTAATAACTGGTTCACCCTTGGACTTGTCCATTATCACGGTTCTTTCTGTCCCTTTGCTCCCTACGCAAAAGCAAAGAGATTGGATGCCAGCAATGAATGGCTGAGGGCAGCGTTTCTTGGTAACTTTTAGATGGGTGGACTTCAACTCCCAGAATTCCCCAGCCAGCCCAGAACTTTAGATGTTGAAGTCTACCCATCTTTAACTTGCCAAGGTTGAAAAACACTGACTTAGGGGTCTTCCCCCCACCCGCAATAAATTACCTGATTTGGAAGTCTTAGATTTTTCGGCAGATCCAGATTTCTGCTCTTCTTTCCCCTTTTCGTCTTTTTCATCTGCTTTGTTACTATCTTCTTTTGAATCAGCTTTTTCATTCTTTTTCGCACTGGAAGTCCTGAAAAAGCAGTTAAGTTCCCAATGTTTAGAGCGGACCTGGGTATTTTAATTAATTAATATATATTCTGCCTTTATTATTTTGTTTATAAATAACTCAAAAGCAGCTAACACACCTAATACTCTTCCCTCCTCCTATTTTCCTCACAACAACTCCGTGAGGTGGGTTGGGACGACTATGACTGCCACACTATCCCTGCAGTCACGATTGGAATTTGGGCGCTTGGCAACCGGCTCACACTGACAACTGTGGCAGCATCCTGTGGTCACATGAGCAAAATCTGCATCCTTCCCAGCTGCCTTCCGACAAGCAAAATCAATGGGGGAAACTAGGGCGCACTTATCAATTTAGGGTAAAAATAGTCATAAAATTGATTTTGGTCACACGACTTGTTTAATGACCCCCCATTGCTTAGTAACTGAAATTCTGGTTCCAATGGTGATTCTAAGTTGAGAACTACTTACAAAGAAGATAACCTAGACCAGTGTTTCTCAGTCTTGGCAAGTTGAAGACCTGTGGATTTCTACTTCCACAACTCCTCAGCCAGCCATGTTGGCTGGGGAATTCTGGGAGTTGGAAGTCCACATGTCTTTAAATTGCCACAGTTGAGAAACACTGACCTAGAGACATATAAGGTCCACTCCCAAGCCAATGAGGGGCAAGATATATTTTGTATCAATGGTAGACAATATTTGAAAGTAGCTCAGACAGACACCTCCGTAATTCACAGCAGTATAAGGGGGAGAATAAACAGCAGTATGAAATAACAGAATAACAGAGTTGAAAGGGACCTAGGTGGTCTTCCTGCTCAAGCAGGAAACCCTATAATACCATTTCAGAAAAATGGTTGTCTAATCTCTTCTTAAGAACCTCCAGTGATGAAGCTCCCACAACTTCCGAAGGCAACTTCTGTTCCATGAGTTGATTTTATTTATTTATTTTATTTATATTTAAATATTTATATACCGCCCTTCTCCCGAAGGACTCAGGGCGGTGTTGTTCTCACTGTCAGAAAATTTCTCCTTATTTCCAGGTTGCTTCTCTCCTTGTTCAGTTTCCATCCATTATTCCTTGTCTGGCCTTCAGGTGCTTTGGAAAATAGCTTCACTCCCTCTTCTTTGTGGCAGCCCCTGAGATATTGGAAGACTGCTACGTAGCCATGCCCAGTTCCAGCAACCGTTCATCGTATGTTTTAGTCTCCAGTCCTCTAATCATCCTGGTTGCTCTTCTCTGCACTCTTTCCAGAATCTCAACATCTTCTTTATAGTGTGGTGACCAAAACTGGATGCAGTATTCCAAGTGTGGACTTACCAAGTGCATTGACTCTTATCTGATGCCAATTTGCCTTGAATATTAGATCATCAGATTCTTGTGAGTAGATAGCATGAAATAAACTCGCAATGCTTTTGAACTCTAAGCTGGTGCCTGATTTCCTGCGCCTGACAGTGATTTCTGAGGAGAGTGGGGGAGAGGAGTAAACTGCCCACATTACTACGAGCACATCTAATAAACGGAAAAGCAAAGCAGGCTGCAGAACTTACCTATCCCCAGAGGACGTTTCAGTCTTCCCCTCACCGTCCTTTTTATCCAGAAGCTTCCTCGTTGGAGGTTCATTCTTTGCCTGAAATTATATTGGATCATCAGAAAAAAATGAAGCAATGGCTTATTTTCCCACCAGTCTGAGGGCTCAAGGAAGGAGGGAGGCCCCACTTACTCTTTCCACTGAGATTATTTTGCCGTGCAGCTCTGTCTTGTGGCAATGGGCAATGCATTTGGTAGTTTCTTCAGCTGTGGACATTGTCACAAAACCGTAACAGCGAGCCCCCGGACTACGAGCGTTGGTCACCACTTTGGCACCAACCACCTAGATAAGAGAAACCACACACGGTCTCGGGAACTGATGGCTGAAGATCCATTGCCTTCTAAGATCAAGCACCAGACCAGTGATGGTGAACCTATGATGTACGTGTCACAGGGGACATGCCATGCCATTTTCTGGTGACAGGCAAGGTCTCCTGACTCTCTGGAATTGTGCGAGAAGGCCTTGCTCTCGCGCAGCCTCTGAAAACTGAACAAGCGTTGTCACGTTGTTTTCCGAAGGCACCCTTGCACGACTTCTGAGTCGAACTGGAAAGTCCAGAGAGGTCCGGAGGGGCCTCTTTTGCTTTGGGTGAGGGTGAAGCGTATGATACGCCAGCAGAGCAAAGGTGAACATTTTCTTAATTTTTGACACACTGAATTCAAAAGATTTACAGTCACTGAACTAACCCTACCAGTTGGAAGGAACAGAGACAATAATTTCACTTTGTCAGTCAGTCCCTCCCCACAATTTTCTTCCCCACTGCCAATCTGTGGAGCCAAAACATTGCGGACCGCTGCTGTAAAGCATTATGGGGCAGTATATATGACCAAATGCTGTTTATATGGCTATAATAGAGGACATGAACTGGTGTTACACCAAAGCCCTTGTGTTAGAAGGAACTTGAAACCAAACTGATCATCTTTGGACTTAAGGAATAAATAAAAACAGCCTTACTTTCCCATATTTGCTAAAGAGGTTCTTCAGGTCAGTTGCTCGGGTACTGGAAGCAAGGCCGCTGACCCAGAAGTTCCGTCCGGTGCTAGTGCTACTGTGACCTAGTTGGAAACAGAAAAAGAAAGCATATGACAAGGTGCAAGGTGGGCAGTCCAGCCAGTCTCACTGCTGCCCACCCTTTGAAAGGGATGCAACTCCTGAAAAATATCTTTTTTATGTTCCACTAAAAACTCTGTTCTCAACCCAAGGGGATTGGCTTGCCCCACCCATGCTAGCAGAAGGGGCATGCTGTTGATCAAAAAACAGCCGGCAGGATCCAGAAGGGCCTTTTCTGCCATGGCTCCCACCTTCTGGAACATCATGTCCCTCGAGGTGAGATTTGTCCCCACCTTCTTCGCTTTCCAGAAGAGCCTTTAGACCTGGCTCTGGGCCGTCTCACTCTGGATGTGGTTTAGAGAAGACTCCTACCTCTACCCCATTGTCTGTTGTTTCCTTCCTTAGCTGTTTTTTTTATTTTAGTGTTAATATCTATCATTTTGTTTTCTATTGTGGTTTTTATCTTATAAGCCACTAGATGGTAAAATGGACAGCATATACATTTAATATATAAGAGCCGTGGTGACACAGTAGGTTGAATGCAGTATTGCAGGTTAACTCTGTATTTCCACTGTTAGGAGTTCGATCCAGACCAGCTCAAGGTGGACTCAGCCTTCCATCCTTCCAAGGTCGGTAAAATGAGGACCCAGATTGTTGGGGGCAACATGCTGATTCTGTAAAACCACTTAAGAGAGGGCTGTAAAGCACTGTAAAGCAGTATATAAGTCTAAGTGCTACTGCTAATAAATGCCTGAAAATATGGAAAGTCATACTTGAGGCCCAGTATCATAATTTCAACTGCAGCCAGCATCTGCTGACGAATGCTGTCGAAGGAGATATTGCAAAAGATGTCTGAAATTACTGCCTTTGGCATGCCAGCATTCATCAGTCTTTGCCATCTGTAGCACAGTATCCACCATCACAAAATGTCATCATGCTAATTGATAAACAATGCTTATTATTTTTTAACTAACAAAAATCCTGTAGGATTTCATCTCAATAATTAGCATCAGCTGAGGTCATGAGTAAACCCATCCAACATTTAAATGTCCTCTCCCCAGTAATGGTTATGTGTTAGGTGGACAAGATATAAGTTTTTATACAAAGTAACGCAAATACCTTTTTCCTCTTTTGAAGGTTGTTTGGGGTCTTTGGATTCCTCAGAACTAAGAACAAAAAAGAGAAAGGAAAACTCAGTCAAGAGTTTGCAAGATATTTTAAAAATTCATTAGAATCGAAATACCTACCCGATTTAAACATGAATCAATGAATTAAAAAAGCAGTCTTATAGTACTCACAGTTTAATCTTAGAAACAAATTTTAAAATAAAGATTAAAAAAAAAAAAGGTTCCAAAACAATGTTTAATGCACAAGAAAGGGAAAAAGCAAAACCTAAAAGATTTTTTTTTAAGGTAGCAAGGAATTATAGTGGGCTTGCGGGCCAAATTGAAGAAACACCCTAACCTAACTTCTTACAGACCAGCTATCTATCTACATAGATTGTATATAGGTATATATAAAAAAGGAAAAAGGCAGCATTTGGTCTAGAATGGAGAAATGTAAGGTACCAGCCCGTATTACCCATGGATTAATAAAACTGTTAAGCACTAGCAGGATTAATTAACTCATTACTTACACAACTGAAAAAGAGGGGAAGGTTAACATTCTGAGGAACTGGAAAAAAATAAACAGATGCAACAATATTTTTAAAAAATTCCCTCTCTGATTCAAAGAGGATGAGGGGGTATAATGTTCCACTGACTGACAGGAATCGTTATTTTCACCTTTATTACTGCCTCGAAGTACTAAAAGTACATAGCTGCAGTCCTTCATTTCAGTAGTATTCGTATTTAGCGTAATTTACCTGTTTTAAGTACAGACAGTCCTCGACTTATCTCAACTGAGCCCAAAATTTATGTTGTTAAACTGAGACTCACTTTTTAAAGTGAGTTTTGCTCCATTTTATGAGTTTCTTGCCACAGTTGTTAAGTGAATCACTACAGTGCTTAAGTTAGGGACCCGGTTGTTAAGTGAATCTCGCTTCCCCATTGACTTTGCTTGCCGGAAGGTCGCAAAAGGGGATCACGTAGCATGCTGCAACCGTCATAAATAGGAGTCAGTTGCCAAGCGGCAGAAATTTTATCATGTGACCATGGGGATGCGGCAACTGTCGTGTGAATAACGGTCGTAAGTCACTTTTTTCAGTGCCGATGTAACTTTGAACAGTCACTAATTGAATTGTTGTAAGTCAAGGACTACCTGTCCTGTAATATAACCAGAAATTGTACCATGTTGTCCTTATGATGTTCTGAATTGGGTCCAGGTGAAACATTTTTTAAAAAGATTTTATTACACTCTAAGGTGTGTATGCGTGCAGGTGTACCTCTGTAACAATCCCTCCTTTCCTATGTAGGCAAATCTATTCTAGAATTGTCCTGGCATTCCACCCTGTGGATCAGATGTATCCAGTCTTGATCGTGGACATGAAAAAAAAAATGCCACCGAGAAAAGTAGCAATGAAAAGCTCTTAAATTATTGCATCTATCTAGTCTTCCTCTGTTGTGGAAAGCGTTAACCTCTCCATCCATACAGTTTTCTAGATAGCGGCTTACCTGTTAAATTATATCAAGGCTCACAGGATTATAAATCTGGGTATCGTACTGGCTGGTACCTTACTCTGGCTCTTTGGATGGATGCTATACTGGCATAGCGGATCAGGGATTGGCATTTTCCTTTTGTTGCTAAAACGGAGAGAAACAAACCTCGTGTTCTGATCACCACCCTCTGGGGCAGAGGACTCTCTAGTGGCAGAGGGCTCCTCCTCAACATTAGCCTTCACTTCCATCTTCTCGGCCTCTGGACTAACCACTTGAGGACCTGTGTCCGATTCCGCGGTTTCCTCACTACAGGCTTCCAGAGTTTGGGCTTCTTTGCTACTCTCACCACCTCCACCTCCACCTCCACTCCTGCTCTCTACCGCTAAAGAGTCCGAGTCCGGTTTGTCTTCCTCAACTGTCTGTTCGCTCGGCTCCCCTTTCTCTACCACTAAGAGCTTTCCTTCGTCCTCTTGGTTCTTGGCCTCAGCCGGGCCTGATTGGCTGTCTGTATCTACAAGGTCTTCGTCCGACTGGGTGCCGGCAGCCAGCGCGTCTTCCTCTTCTTCCTTTTTGCCCAGGGACGGTTCATTTGCTTCCTGCGCCTGCTCCGATTCGGATGCATCTTCTTTAAGGAATTCAGATTTACAAGTGTCACCCAAAATGTCGAGCATTTTCTCATTTTCTATAGATTTAACAGGAATAGAATGGCACAAGGTTTAATCACCGGGGAAACATAGCAAAGACATATGCGGAACGGGCATGGCTGCCAGTCTAACAGTATGGTTATAGCTACACAGAAACTGGAAAAACGCTTTCGGTATTACCACATTCAAATGCCTAAAGCTAAGACATAATTTTAAAAAGATCATACGCTATGAAGGGAAAAAAAAACCAAAACCAACCCTGATCTTATCAGTTTAACAAAAAAAAAACCTTCTGGCTCAATTCTTGAGAGATCTTCAAGAGGTTCTTTCTTCCAGAATTCCAAGAGGCTTAAACAGAATGCATCAAGAACACACATTTCCATTTCAAACTCTGAATTTCTTTCTTTCGTTTTGGTTTAAAGCATGGTGATCCAACAGGAAAACTGGAAGGTCTTCTGATGATGCATGAACATGTAACTCCAAGAAAGTAAATAGCATTTTTTATGGAATTTCCACGTAGAACCTCTCTTCTTGCTTCTTCTGTTTAGCTTGCAACTCACAACGTTTCCCTATGGCAACTTTTAAGCTAGCCTTTCTGCGCTACTGATCACACATATCACATACTACAATCTGCTCTATAGGATTTGCTTTTATATTCGACATTAACTTTCTTCTAGTGTATCTGTGAAGCTAGAGAGGACTTTAAAAAAAATCTTTTCCCCCCAGGTCTAGGAAAAAAAGCACTTTAGTGGCAGGCATGAATTCACAGAGTTGGAATCACGATTGCATTTCAGATATTTACACACTAGAGAATTACGTGGGTAATTAATTAATCAATTAATACAACTAAGAAAGTGCAAGAACTGGCCCCTTACCTCCGCTGCACTTTTAAAAAAAATAGAAGAAATTAACAGAAAAATACCTGGTTCTGAATGATGCTCTTCAAAAAGCTATAGGAAAAACGGGGGAGGAGAAGTGAGAGAGAGGGGGGGGGAGGGAGAGAGAGAGGAAATAATTGATTCTACGTTCATATTGTGATTTCAAGGTCTATCTAGAAAAAAGCCTGAGATTAAATTATTGTAATCTGCTCCTCACGCCTGATTCCTTTACGGCAAATCCCATCCTGAACAAGGTTATTTTGTGAAATTGCTAAGTACTTTTGTTAAGCACCTAGGATTTAAAAATAGTTGTTAAATGTTCAAAACATGTAGTAACAGGATTCTATAGATAGTTTTTTTAATCCACATATACTGGAAAATATTCAGAGATACTAAAAGCACAATTACAAGGGAGGAAGGAGGCAGAAAGACAACAGAACAAGCCAACAAGAGCTGAAAACAACAAAAAGCCAGTGTCATGCAGCTGAGAGGCGTGCTTATATGAGTCTAATAAAGGAGAAAACGGATCACCAAAAAAGAGTCTGTGATCCAGAAGTACCAATGTTTGTCCAGAAGACTATCATTCACAATAAACTGGGAACACCGTAATAGAATAACAGAGTTGGAAGGGACCTTGGAGGTCTTCTAGTCCAACCCTAGCAAAGGGAAAAATACCTAACAAAAACAAAACTGGAATCAAATGATTCAAAATTATTTGTTTGATGTGTTCAAGCCTACTCAGAGGCTGCCAGCCACTTGTTGGGAATGTTTAATTAATGAATATAAGGTTGGATCTAATGGCTTCTTTCAAATCCTAGATTCCTAAAAAAAAACAAAAAAAAAAACAGCCACATCCATGAGATATTTTTCACCTTGCACTCAGTTATGAATATTTACAAAACCCTAAACCAGTGTTTCTCAAGTGTGGCAACTTGAAGATGGATAAACTTCAACTCTCACAGTTGAATTCCACAGCCAGCGTTTCTGGGAGTTGAAGTCCACCGATCTTAAAGCTGCCAAGGTTGAGAAACACTGTTCTAAGCCATTTAGGACTCTTAAAAATAGGCTAAGTTCCTGCTGTTATTTTTAAAAGGAATAGTTAGGTCACAGTATGTCAATACTGTAATATATCTAAGGAAGCTAAATCTCAAGGGCTGAAACCAGCATCTTGTTCAATTCCCAGAACATCACCTGTTTACAGGCATTTCTTTTCCAAACACAAAGTTTCTCAGCCACAGGCTATCAAGCTTCTTGAAGAGCAAAGGATTTTTAAATCCATTTCTGCCTATGCAAACAGCAACACAGAACCTGCGGGACGCTCTTTCTTCTGATATTTATACCTCATCTTTTTGTGAAAAAAGGGTAGTATAATCAAGATAGCCATAGCCATAGAAAAAAAGATGATGTCTCTAAAAGACAAAACTCAGTCCAAAAATTTAAGAAGTCAACAAACCCCCCACCCCACAAAAATAGCGCAAGTTTATTGAAAGTGAAATTCTGCAAATATCTGCCATAAGAAAGCTCTTTTAGCTATCTAGCCCAACAAAAGTTATGGAATTGGGAAGGATTTTATGAAGGGAGTAACTGTCTCCTCAGCCCTCAGAATTCGAGTTTCATGGTATTAAAATTTATTCCCATAAGCAGTAGGGTTGGGTTGGATAAAAATGGGTTGAAATCTGAACCGTGTGAAGGAACGTTGGCGTACCTGTCTGATTTGACCCTGTAAAAATAGAAATACAGCAGCATGACTCCTAAAAAAATGTGGGCAAGGAAAGCAAAACCACACCATAACTGACAACTGTGAGGGATTATTGTGTTCCATTGATTAGAGATAGCCAACACAACTGCTCTTTCTTCTAGGAGAGAGAGAGGGCTAAAGAATTTGGGCTTGGCTTGGGAGACAAGGCTAGAAGGCAAATTAACTCGAATTAAAAAAAAAAAATTGCTGGTTGAATGGTTACAGCACATTTCCCAAGCCCATGAGAGGAAAGCCAGCAGGTTACCTTCACTTCAGCCAAGTCAGGTGAAGCAGCCTCTAACTGGTCATCAAGTTCGTCACCATTCTCCTGACAGGATAAATAATGAAGACAGATGCGCTTTTCAAAAGCTGATCATCTTTTTGTAGAGGCAAAATCCATCAGAAGAATATGAATGTTTGTGCCCCACTACTATAAACATTTACTGCAAACAGCAACTCACTGAAGAAGTAACGAATTTTAATGACACATGTATCTAGTACCAAGTGTCGCTTCCCAGGGACACTCAGCCTGTGTAATGTCAGAGGAGTCCTGTGAACATTCCAACTGCTGAAGGGAAGGCATCAGAAATGGCATAGGACTGAGGAGTGAAAGTGGGGGTATGCAGCTAATCTTTGCATTTATTTATATTATATCCTGCAGAAAAACAATGCCCATGTTAAAATACGGGGGACTGAATTTCATTCATTCATTCAAAGTCGGTCACAGGTAGTCCTCGACTTACAACAGTTTGTTTAGTGACCATTCAGTTACAATGGCATTAGGAAAAAAAATTACTTATATTTTTTCACACTTAGGACGTTTTGCAGAATCCCCATGATCATTTGGACGCTTGGCAACTGACACGTATTTATGACCGTTGCAGTATCCGGGATCATGTGATCGCTTTTTGCAACCTTTTGACAAGCGAAGTCAATGGGAAAGCCAGATTCACTTAACAACCGGGTTGCTAACTTATCAACTGCGGTGATTCGCTCAACAACGGTGAGGCCGTAAAATGTGGAAAACTCACTTAACAAATGTCTTACTGAATAACAGAAATTTTGGACTCAACTGTGATTGTAAGTTGAAGACTACCTGTAGTTAGTTATAAAACTTATTGGCCCCCATCTTACCACATAGGGACTCTGGGCGGCTTACAATCATAAAAGATAAACATCTATCTATATATAGTCAGATATGTCAATACAAGCCAAATGCTATGATCCAATTAAAGATGGGGAAGGGCGGGGGCAGGATGGGGCTGGGAGGAGGTGGGATCAGTTGTCAAATCGATCCACCACCTCCACTGTGATGCTTCTCCATTGGAGCCCCAAGCTAATTGGCAGAGCCAGGTTTTTATATTGGTTTTGAGTGAGTCAGCCTTAATCTTTGCAGGCACATCTCTGGCATGATATAAATCAGTGGTCCCCAACCCCCGGTCCGCGGCCCGGTGCCGGGCCGTGGAGTACCTGACACCGGGCCGCACAGCGGCCGGGGGACAGGAACGCTGCAGCGCAAAGGCTCCTGGGCCGTGCGCAATGGGCCTGCACAAAAGCTCCTGGGCCGTGGCCCCACCCCTGCGCGCGCTCAGCGGGCCGCGGCGATAAAAAGGTTGGGGACCACTGATATAAATAATCAAATATGCCCCCCGATGATCTACCTCACTTTCCATCAGCTGCTCTGGAAGTTCTTTCATTTCCATATCAATGTTGTCTTTATCAGGATCCAGAATGCTTTCAGAGCGGTAGTCATCTGCACAGTCCACAGCGCTGCTGTTATCTATTTCGGCTTCATCCAGCACACTGATGTCCATCATGTCGATATCCTGCAAGTTGTCTGAGCTTGCTTCAACATCCTTCTATAGTTGAGGTGGAATGAAAAGAAAAAGGGAAACCAATTCTTACTGTGACTTGAAAGAAACTTTTAAAAGAAACAATGCATTTTTCTTCCCCTCCCCCCCATACCTGTCCATCTCTGGAATTTTCTTCTAATCCATTGTCCTCGCCCCCTTCTTCTTCTGATTTACGCCCTAAAAGAATAAAGTTTTAATATACTGCTAGAAAGTTTAACAACAAAATCAAGAGTCCTCAGAAACAGAATACTAAAGTCTAAGCCAGTGATAACAGACGGGTAAAATGGTTGCCAATTTCATTAAGGAAAAAAAAAACAAAGCAGAATTTTTAAATACTCCAAGCCTGAGATTTTTATATCACACATCAATGTATCATACAAATGAAACTCTTATTGCCAGAGAATGTCAATTTTATTATGTAGCCCAAGTGCAAATAAATGCCTCTAGTTTGGCAAAATATACCGAGGTCCAGAATCCTGAAGAGTAAAACTGTGCTGCAAAATATAGATTCTGAACACCACTAGTTTGAAGCAGAAAACATGCATTAAGAATTAAAATTTAAGAGAAAAATTTTATATAATGTTTTATAGATGGCATTTGGATCCCAAAAAGTTAGCTTGTATGTACCCAAACCTACAACCCAAATGTTGGAGATGTGATGTTTTCATGTTTGGTAGACTTGTAAAAAAGTTAAAGCATTTTAGATAAAAATATGGTGGATTATTCAAAATATTTTTTAAAAAAGGATAAAGTTTACTCCACAGTTGTTTTTGTTAGATATAATAACAGATTGTACGGCTATAGAGACTAATTTGATTCTGAACTTAGTAACTGCAGCAAGACTCTTGGTGGCGCAGTACTGGAAGAAGGAAGATTTACCTACTATTCAAGAATGGACATTAAAAGTAGTAAATTTAGCAGAAATGGCAAAAATTTCAACATATCTAAAGGACCATTCAAATGAGAAATATATGTTAGAATGGAGAAGATGGATTGATTATATTCAAGGCAAACATCGGACTAAAAAATTTCAAATAGCTTATGAATGATCAAAGAGATTTTATAAAGTACTTAAATTTAGTTTAGTAAAAGGGGAGCCAAAAGTTCAAGAGGGGGATAGGGGGCTATAGATAATTAGCTTGTTAGCTTATGATTGTTAAATGTTATACTCTGTATTTTGCTCTGGGAAGTGGGGGGGGAGGGAGGGGAAGGGGAGGGTTGGAAGGGGAGGAGGGAGTGGGAAGGGGAAATGTCTGTAAAACTTTTAAAAACTTTTCAATTAAAAAAAAATATTTTTAATGCGATTACTTTTAAAAAAAGTATGCAAACTGGAAGTTGGCTGACCACTGTTTCCTAACTCAGAATTCTTGCACAATTGTCATCACTGACTTTAAAAGAAAAAAACAAAACAAAGGATGCTACAGATTAGCTATGCTAACAGCAAATTCTGGTGATGAATATTAAAATAACTA